ATATATATATATATATATATATATATATGTGTGTGTGTGTGTGTGTGTGTGTGTGTGTGTGCGCGCGTGTTTATTAGTTTTTCTTTTATTTTTTCCTAATTCGGGATTAAAATATCCCGATCGGGATTGAACCAATTCCCGAATCCCGATCCCGTATTGTTCCTATCCCAATCCCGAATCCCGTAATCCCGAATCCCGAAGTTTTAATCCCAAATAGTAAAATTCTAATCGGGACGGGACGGGATCCCGAATCCCGATCCCAAAGTCCCAGCCCTAGTCGCCACACAGCCGGCACAACACACCATCACCACCTTACTTTGATATTATGACGTTTTTTTTTATTACAAATAAATAAATAAATAAAATCACAACTCGCACCACCAACCAAAGCAGAACCACCACCCATCAAAATCCGATTCCAACAAACAAATCGACAATTTTACCTCTTACCGCCGCCGATGTAGCAATCGTGGTATTCGAATTCAGAATTGCTATCAAAATCATCATCATCTTTATGGCTTTTGTTAAGATCTACAAATGTTCTAATTCCATGAAGGGGTATAGAGCGGAAGGAGTAGGAGGAGACGTCGCAATAGGGGGATTGAAAGCCAGAGAAGATGGATTAACCCCGACGGCGACGGAGACAGGAACGACGACGACGAATTCAACGGGATTGGCGTCGTTGTTCTGACGGTGATGTCGGTGGTTGGTTCTTCATATTCCAATCAATAGAGAATAACCTAGAATTGAGAGAGAAAGATATAAAAGAGAGAAAAAAAAATCAGTGAAGAGACGGAAGAGAAGGGTAGTTTTGGAATTATGAAACTATCACTTGGGTGGAATATTAGTTAAGGGGATTTTCTTTAATTATTTTTGGGAGAGGTGTTTCCTTTAACTATATTTCCTAAATGAGGGGATTTTCTCTAATTTTTCCATTTATTTATTATAGAAGAAAAAAGAAAGGTGAGATCAATTTACATCTTTCTATTCTTAATTGCATATCCAACCTTAACGCCGTTTGGTCTACTTTTTGGTCAATGCTTTGAAATTACAAAATCACCAACACCGTGCAAAAACTCCTCCATTAACCAACCATCATCAATCTCCAAGGGCCGGCTTCTCCCATCTTGGTTTACGGGTTTCTGGTTTCTGATTTTGTTGAGATGAGAAGTTGAGTGGGTCTTCTTCGCAGTGGCTCATGCCGAATCTATCACCCTTTTACAGCCACAAAAAGGGTCGACTGATGTAATGCGTCAAGCTATAAGAGTGCTAAATTAAAATACATTCGGAGTTTTTGGATGATCGGATTTTTCACGACATTGCTTATGTTATATATGTATATATTTCTTCCAAATTTGATTGTTGCTCGAATTTTTTTTTTATTCCGGGTAACATTTCCAAGAAATACCGATTCTAACCCTGCATATGTGAATTTTTTTATGCTACTTTTTAAAACAAAAACACCCTCAGAGATAATAGTAATACTAAAAAGATGTAAAAATGGTATTTAAGGAGAATAAAGATTCCGTGTAAAGGCCCATAAGCGTAATTTTTTTCTTAAAAAAAATATCATAAAGAAATGTCACGTGTGCAGCAGCAGTATAATCCGCATTTTTCATGGAATGTTCCCTGTAGTAAAAAGAGTCCGTGAAAAATAACACCGTAAGAGGATCAATGTAAGACAGAAACAAACATCAGGGGAATTTTGATAATTATTGATAGTTGGGGGTGTTTTTCATAATTTAGCCTAAGTTCAGGGGGATTTCTATAATTTACCCTTAATTAATATACGTGCAGAAAACAGAACAATAAGAAATCAACACTATAAACTCCAAACAAAAGTGTTCATCTCTTATGTCCATGTGACCAATCCTTTCAAGTATACTATGGTTAAGCTTTAAATAAGTTTCAATCCAATCCAGATAAAACATTATTACATCACAATACTATTACAAAACCTAAGGAGTTTTGTTCCTACACAAATCCAAACAGACCTCAAATTTCTGACTTGAATCAACTACGGCCTTGTTTGATTCATGAGATAAGATTAGCCAAGATGAAGATTAAATAATCTAATGAAAACCCGATTGCATAATTCGACCTAACCAAGCGAGGCCCTATAACGTAGCCATGCTTCTCAAGTCTCTTTCTTCACTTTCACATCTCCATTCGGCAGAATACTTTGTGCTTGGGCAAATTGTTTGGACTCCTGCATACGTTACAATCGGTTCAGAGCTTAGAGTAGCAAACCTAGTATACATTTCTTACAACTTGGCACATTTCCAACGAAAAAAGAAAAGAAAGGAAAATATTGCACTATAAGAACAAAAATTTAAATATAGCAATGCTATTTACCGTACTTGTACTTATTCAACCAATGTGTATAATAAAAATTACTATATATGTGTACTTATTTCATACTTTGGAGGTAATCTGTGGTAAAAATGACATTATATGTGACAACACTTGATCAATGTATAGGTTAACATGTATGTTCAGAAGCCAAACTAGAAGTTTCTAAAATGGCCCATATAACGTAATTTCTTTCGAAACTTATAGCCATTTCGGGTATTTTACACCTTTAACATGAACAATGGAAATGTTTCGTTCAGACTGATCAAGAAAGGAAGTATTATTTGGTTCCATGTTCTTATTAATATAAACTTTAGACTCTATAATAAATGAACTATTGTTTCTTTATATTAATTATTCATCGCATTAGTATATCTCTTTCCAGAATGCTTTTATCCTGTCTCAATCCTTCAAGAATAAAAATCTTATTATAACTTGAATCGAATTGATTGTATATTAAACCACATTAAATGACCATTATAATATAGATAGATTTCAAACATCAATGAATCAAGAAATAGGATCAGCAGCAATTTAATGATTGGCAAAGCTTTTCCGAATCTTATACATCTCGGAACTCTAAATTCCCACAAATGTTGGCAGCACCGAATTAAGTTCGTTTAGGCATTTTTTATGCAGCTATTAAAATGGCCATTCTAGCTATACTTTCAGTTACTTCACCTATTTCAAACACCAATCATACAACACTCATAAATTACAGTGCTGATGAAACTAAATCGTGGTAATTTGGAACTAAATAATCATATTCATAATCACTCATCTATACCATTCAAAACACTATTCAATCAATCACTTCAACTTCATCATACTATCTACCTAATAATAGGTAATTGCCAGCGAAATGCATTAAGCTCTAAGCACCCACGGTCCAACTTAGATGAGAAGTTTTCATTTCATTTGTCATAAGAAGATTATTTTTCATATTCAGTAGTCCCTACTAGAACACCTTCACATTTACATCTATAAGATAGTACAAGAAATCATGCATGGGTTCAAGAAAATATGTCTCGACACAAATGGTTAACTCGGAGATGAAACAACAAACAAACAAATATAACTCACTGCTGCGGATGCTGCACGTATCTCCCTATAAGCTTCAACTTCATCAGGAAATGCCTGATCCAGTTCTTCAAGCAGGTGTCTTCGCATACCCTGCATCCAAATAAAATAAAATAATACCTAATTCAATCCATTAAGACGTGAAATATACAAGCTGATGCAATGAGATCTTTCGGAAAATAAGCTGCTAGATGAAAATTCAAATGCTTGAAGATTTTTTGTTTAACTTTGGTGGCAATGTTATGACTATAGGGCAAAATTTTATAAATGTCAAAATTGTAGTTTTTACGGGCATTTAAATTCCCGGGTTCGGTGGTGTAGCAACTGGATATGAAGATATTTCAATTGAGAAGATAAAGGTCTGCCTGCCTAGAAATAAAGATAACTCAAGAAATAAGCGCGTTCGTAAAAGAAAAAAAAAACAAACCTTGAAGGCGTCTGTCTTCCCTTTGGTGATCTGATTCTTGGCAATGCAACCATTCAGCATATCCCGTGTAAATTCATCCGGATTCTTCCCATCATCTATCAATCTAAATTCCCATTCATTCATCATTAATAATTTAATCAGACCGGAAAAAAAAATTAAATAAAAGCTTTCTCAGTACTTAAAATCCTTACTGTAGAACTTCCATAGGCACCTGAATGTTACACTTGTCTGCTAATCTCGTCATATTATCCAGCTCCAACACCAAATTGTTCCTTTTATCCAAGAAAACAAAGAAATTAAGTTCGTCAACAAGAAGGCTCAAATTCTTCGATTTTCCCAAACCACTAAATTCAAAAAAAAAAAAAAAGATAATTGACTAAAATCGAATATTAATTGGGCAATTAATTACATGCGTTGGAGGAGGGGGAGTTGCGACGCGACATTGAAGGATGAGACGGTGAGGTAGAGCTGGTGGAGAATTCCTAGGGTTTTCTGGATCGAATTTGTGACCTGGGTTAGGTTTTCCTTTTGATCGTCCGTTGGGGTTGCGGCGGTGGTGGCGGATGAATCAACAGGAGACGCGTCGATGGATTGCGTGTTCATTACACCGTTTCCCCCCGCCGAAACGCCGCCGCCGCCGCCGCCAGCAGCAGCCGTCGATGCTGTAGTCTGTGAGGAGTCCATGTCTTGCCAATTCGGTGGATCAAAGTTTTCGTTGCGAATTTTAATTTACCCAATTTCCCTTTTAATATAGAGTAAATAAAAAAGCAGTTTTCCCTCTAATTAAGGCAGTATTGCAGTTTGACCCCTGAATAAAAAAGATTTCACGTTTTTAACTGAATCTAATATTTTGCTGCTACACGCGAGATTGACAGGGGCAAACTTGTCTCTTCAGTCAGTCGGTTTTCTTTCTTTCTTTTTTTTTTTTTAAACAATTTCGTTGTGTCTCACAGTTTATATTAAAAATCACCCCACAAAAAATAGGGCAAATTACGGTGCACCCCTAATTTATGGTTAAATTACGAAAACATCCTCCTATTTGGGTAACCAATGACACCCATCAGCTATGTATTATCTTTCGAAAATACCCTTCTATAGGTAAATATAAGGATGTTAAATCTAATACCGGACTGAAATTTCGGTACGTCAACATTTCATACCGTTTACCGAACTGAATATACAATTTGGTTCGGTAAATAACCGAATTGCATATATTTTATGTAAAAATATTTAAAATGAGGGGTGACTATAACTACTCAAACATGAGGGATTTTTTCTTAATTTGGCCATACCTCAGGGGCGGCCATAATTTGCCCAAAAAAATATTATGCATAGGAAGTGAGAGATGTAGGTAGGTTTATGTAGAAAGTTAGATACTACACCCAATTATTCACATTGGGTAGTTTTGGATCGAAGATCTAACATAATTACACACACCCATGTGTATGTGTGCTTAGTGGATAGTTATTTAATCAAATAAACAATTAAAATCATATGTAAATAACGAGTTGTACCATCTAACTTCCGAGTTTATATCTCTCTGTGAAAGTTAAAATTGTCTATCATGTTATTGTGTAGATTTAGAATAATACTAAATCATCTAAAATTTCAGTTTACATTAATCTTCCAATTATCTTCACCAATCAGTTCATCTTTCACCAAGGTCAAAATAACTGCAGGAATTAACCATCATGATAAATAAAAGATCCATAATTATTATACTTCCCAAAAAAAAAAAAAAAAAAACACCATCAAATTTCAGAACAAACAGCTAAAGAGGACCACGAGAAATGTACATACAATAAACGAATCCGAATCACGACATCCGGGCCAAAGCCTTCTCGAACTGGGCCCACCTCTGCTCGAGGGTCCCGCTGTAGCCAATTGACATCCTAACAAGCCCCGGCGAGATCCCGGCAAGCGCCTTCTCATCCTCGTTCATCTCACTGCTCGTGCTGCTCCCGGAGCACGACATCAGCGTCTCGTAGTACCCCAAGCTCACCGCCATAAACCCAAATTGGCTGCAATTCTGCAACAAATTCATCAATTTATTCGCCTTCTCCTCCGTCCCCATGTCGACGCACATAATCCCGCCGTAGCCGTAGTCCTTATGGGCTATGGACTTGAGTAGGGCGTGCTCGGGGTGGTCCTCTAGGCCCGGGTAGATCACTTTAAGGCCCAATTTCTTCATCCGCGTGGCGTAGACTAAGGCCCGGTGGCAATGCTCCTTCATTCGTAGGCCCAAATGCGGGAGCCGCTCCGAGAGCTCGAACGCCACCTTCGGGTTCATTGTGGGGCCCAGTAGCATGAGGGAGCCTTGGTGGAGGTCCATCATTGAATTCACTAGCTTGGCTGGCCCACATACTGCACCTGTTACATTGTTCATTCAAAAGTTTTGTGCATTAGATTATTATTTATTAAAAGAAATTGAGATAATTAATCAAGGATTTAATATTGTGTTTTGTATATTCTGCAATGAGTGAGTGCACCGGATAATATGTGCAATGAATCTAGAGGAATCCAATTTGGAATAATGTATTGGGGAATAAGTTTGTGAAAGTATATTCCTTTATCTTTTCACATGCATGCCCATGATTTCTTACTAGTATAAACATCTATCTCTTCTTATCTTTTTTATGACATGTACCCAAATAAAGCAAGAATGCTGACACTTTAGTCACATGAAATGTCGTATGTTTTTTTGTTTCCATTTGGACACGTCACTATTAATTACGGCCACAAATTTAAGAAATTAACAATTATAGTAGGAAAAAAACCCAAAAGAAGGACGAAGAAGGGAGTATTAATTAGGGTTGGGCATTGGTCTATTTTATTGGCGAACCGACCAACTTTCAATCTGATTTTTTCGACCGATAATTTTGTTGTCGGACCAATAAATCGGTCAGTGATTTTCAATTTACTCAAAAATTGGTTGATCCGGTAATATTGGCAAACTGATTTTTTTAATAATAAAAATTTATTATAAATATTTAATTGTAATACCTATTTTCTTGGCGTTGAAATAATATATAAAAGAAGTCAAAACTGGAAACATAAATTTATAAACTACGTACTTTTTCTGTTTTATAATTTTTATTTCATATTCATCATTATATATCTATTTATTGTAGAAGTTTAATAAAAAAAAAAAGACTCTTAATTTAAAAGTTAAGATTTTTGTAATGTAAATTTTCCCAAAATTTAAATATATTTTGAATAAACTTGAAAAAATATTTTACTATTATAATTAACAATGGTAATTTTAATTTTTTTTTAAGTTAAAATTTTAATTTGACACTGACTTTTTAGTTTTTACTTTTAGTCCTATTTTTCTATTACAAACAAGGTTAAATTTTGACCACCAAAAATAATTAACATAAACTAGTGTGAATAACCAGGTGTAATTTAATTTTTTTACGGTAAAAAATATTAAAAAAAATAAATAAATAAAAAGGGCTAAAGATAGAAAAGGTGAGTATGGACCTGCGATGATATCGGCCCCACCGCTGATGTACTTTGAAATACTGTGAACAACCACGTCGGCGCCGAGCCTCGCCGGCGACACCACCATCGGAGCAAAGGTATTGTCAACAACCACCGTCACACCCTTATCGTGCGCTATCCTGCACAGCTCGGGCACGTTAGCAACGGTCAGGACCGGGTTGGATATCGCCTCGAAGTACAGAACTTTGGTCTTCCCCTGGACGATTTCCCGCTCCACCATCTCGAGATCTCCGATGTCAACAAACGACGTCGTTATGTTGCAGGCGCGTGGGAAGAAGTGCGTGAGGAGCGCGTGGGTCCCTCCGTAGAGGGTGCGTGATGCGACCACGTGTCCGCCGGAGCTGCATAGCTGGAGGAGGACGGAGGAGATGGCGGACATGCCGGAGGCGGTGCAGTAGGCGGCCTCGGTTCCCTCCATGGCGGCCATGAGGCGGCTGAGGTTGAGGACGGTGGGGTTGAAGTGGCGGCTGTAGATGAAGAAATCCCGGTCGGGGCCGAGCTCTCCGGCGAACATCCGCCGCATGGTCTCGGGCTCCATGACGGTGAAGGTGGCGGAGGCCTCGATGGACATGTTCACTCCGCCGTGCTCGCCGAACTCGTGGCGGGCGTTGGCCAGCGCCACCGCGGGGTCGTCGGTCTTGTTCGATGCAGACTGGTGCTTCTTGGCGGCGAATTGATCCCACTGGTCGTCGGAGGAGCCCGATCTTTTCTTGGCGGAGATGGTGGACACGTCGGAATTGAAGGCTGTTTCCGCCATTGTTGTGCGCTTGTGGTTTTCTGTAATAGAGAAAATAAATAAATTAATTGGGGTGAGAGATTTGTGAGGGATGCAGAGGGTATTTATAAAGGGGAAAGAGAGGTAAAAATCCGTCCAAATTCATTCACCAATGATATAACTCAATTTTCATTAGGAAATGATGCAATTAATTTTTATTACTTCCTCTCTTCACAATAATTATATTTTTTTAAAATATTTTTATTTCATATTATCTGTCATTTTAAATTTTTAACTCTGCATTAAATACATGTTTCATCTTTTAACCTTATTAATGAAATTCTAAGGTGGTGTTTGCAAAAAAAATTAAAGATAGATTATCAGCTTCTTTTATAATCTGTTTTTAAGGGTTTCCAAGACGAACTTTTGTTTTCGTCTCTCTTAAAATAAGCTATTTTAAGCTATAATTTGAAAACCATCCATTACCTTTTTTTTCTATTTAAATTGATTTTGCAGCTAATTTACAAACATTCCAAACTTTTAGAAATAAGCACTTAATTCCAACTTAACTCACAATCACTAACTTATGCTTTTAATTAAGTTTTTGCAAACACTACCTAAGCATTAATTCTCTCTTATAAATCATTAAACGATAAAGGTTGTTTTAGTCATTTTTATGTGATTTTTCTAAAATCGAGCTATATTTATTGAGTTTTTTTAATCTTTGTGAAAAATGAAAAGAGACACTTATTTAGGAACGGAGGGAGTACAATTATCCATTTTTTAGTTTTTTTTATCATGATATACAATGAAATATTTTTGAATAAAGGAAATATATAAAATAAAAATATATATTGTATAATAGAAAATTCTATTGATTTTTGAGTTGATAAATCTTCATAGAGAAAATTGGCATTACCAATTCGAATTCGATTTGACCACATACTATTAGAGGTGTAGTTCAAATTTACTTTGACTAAATAATAAGGTCCACTAGAACTAGAGTATCACTACAATTCAAATAAAAGAATTTTGAGCAATAATATTAAAGTTAATTAAAAGGGATAATATATATATTAAGCGACTACATAATTTTAGTTTACAACTCACAAATTACAATCTCGATCAGGTTATATGCATATAGTGACAACTTTTCTATTTGTCGTGATTAGGTGTCGTTAATGCAATTCTTTTTGTATGAATGAGAAAAATTCATGTTCGAACACATGTATTACTACAATACAAAGAAAACAAAGACGTAACATTGTCTTAAAGTTGAATTTCCTAATCATTTTAAATCATAGTAATATTTTACAAATACTCTCTTTGTTTAAAGGGGGTAATTTGCTACAAGTCCCACTATAAGAGATTATATGTGTAAAAATTCATCTAATAAAATTTAATTTTCAGCATATTTTGTTATTAGTATGTGTCAAACGTACCCATAACAATATATGAAAAAATAAAATTTCAAAATAAAATCCCCTATTTTTCTCCCCATTTCGTTTGACCTAACTGTTACCAAATCTGACAACGGCGACTGCAAATCCGAAAATTCGAATTGCAGATCTCTGAAAAATCGATCTATTCAATACCAAAATCTCTCCAAAATCTGTGATGCCTTCCATAGGTTGCGTTGTCGAAGCGTTTGCAATTTACAATGTCGTTTGCTGTTTCATTTGCTGAACCAGTTTGCCCCCCTTTATGTTTGTGATTTTCCAATTGTTTGTTGTTTGAAGACATCGACTGGTGTTTCTGTTTGGGATTTATACAATGGACAAAACACGATTAAATCTTGGTAAGCAATGATTCTATAAACTGTTTGTATGATTAGTGTGTGCATTTTGAATTTTTTTATTCTGCATTTGCATGTTTTTTTTTTTTTTCAATTTTGCTGTTTTTTTATTTTATTTTGCATTTTGCTGGTTTGCAATTTATTTCGAATAATTCGATACTAATTTGAGATTTTTTTTCCATGAGGATGATGACTTCGAATCCTCAAAATCAAACAATTGAGGGATTCGTTAATGTTATAAGTTTGGTTATGTTTATTCTTAAACAAAATGTAGTTGCATTTTAAGTTACAATTTTTAAGGCTTGTTTGATGTTAGTCTGAGTTTTTATGTGATTTTTTTTAAAATGAGTTCATTTTGCTCTTTAAAGTTTGTCACTTTATCCTGTATTTTGCTATTTTGTGGCTGATTTTTGGTACTTATGTAATCTGAATTCTGATTTTTTTGGTTAATTTTGAGTAGTGTTGTTAGTTGTTTGCAAATGATGTTTGCTATTTTCAAGTACCATTTTTATTCGACTAATTCATGTGTCGTTTACTTACTTATGATGTTTTTATTTGTAGTTTGCATTTTGCAAGTCTTGTATAAACTTGCATAAGTTGTTAGTTGTTTGATATTTTGCAATAACATTGTTTGGATAATTCCATAGTTCTATTTTTTTTTCTTTTCCAACAGTCAAGCCAAATAAAAGGAAACAAGTCACTAAATCATCGAAAAGGAAAAGAAAAATCAACTCAGACTGTAGTCGAGACTCAAGAACAACCAACCGTTACAGAAAGAACAACCGATTCCACAATATTGTTCAAACCTCGTTTTGTAATCCTGTGTATTACAGTTTGCAGTTTCAGTTTACGTTTGTTGATAAAAGGGTTTCATCTTTTACATCTCTTTGCAAACTCCAAGTTTAAAATTGCAAAAGAAAATGATTGTTTTGCTATTGCATTATGCAGTATTATTTTTTATCATACTAATGCAAATCGCAAATTTATGTTTGACATTTTAACGTTTGCAATTATTCATGCATGGTGCAGTTCGCTATTTACAAAATGACATAACAGTAATACATAATTAACAAAGAAAAAAAAAACACCATTCTAAAATTTGCAGTTTGTTTATCATTTCTTTTGTATTTTGCATTTTGTTGTTGTATGCAATTTGCATTTTCCTCTTACAACTTACAACTTGGAAAAAAATTAAAATTAGTGGATAAGATAATTGAATATTTAAAGATATTATTAAATAAAAATATGCAAATAAATGTCTATGATGAAATTATACCAAAAAATATAACAAGTAAATACAATATTACAACAATTTTGTAACCTTAAATATGTGTTTTCAAATTCCTTTTGTTGTTTAATTTGATGTTTGTTGTTTGGAAGCTATTGGAAGAATAGAAGAGGAGAAAGAGAGAAATAATAATACGTGATAGAATAGAAACCCCCATTATGTTAGGTTAAAAAAACCTGGTGCTCTGATACCATATTGGAAGAATAGAAGAGGAGAAAGAGAGAAATAATAATACGTGATAGAATAGAAACCCCCATTATGTTATTGGTTGATTACATAAAATATATATAGAGAAATATTCCAAGGTAATAGAGTTTGACTAGGTAACTAAATCCTAACTAATCTAGGTAACTCAATCATACTACAATCCTAAAAGAGTTCTATAACATAATATTCTCTAACACGCCCCCGCAGTCGAAACGTGACGAACGTGAAGACTGGACAATCACTTGCTAGCACGCTCCCGCAGTCGGAACGAATAAACTCAAAAAGTGAAGACTGAACAGAAACCGCGAAACACAACGCTAGAGAATTCCTCTGTGTAAATATATGCCCAATTGATAGAAAAAAAAATAATAATAATAATAACGGGAGAGAGAAAAATAAGCATTTTTTTTTTATCGAGATAGAGAGAAGAGATGAGAGAGGGGGGAAGAAGATTGGGTGGTGTTCGCCGGCCATGGAGAAGAGAAGAGGCGGCGGCTAGGTTTTAGACTATGGAGAAGAAAAGAGGAAGAAGAAGAACGGAAAAAATAGAGAAGATACACCACCGTGGTAGGGAAAAATTTTGGGTGGTGTTCACAGAAAAGATAGAAAAACAAACATAGAGAGAAGAGTACCACCACCGGGGAGGAAGAAAATTGGTTTAGTGGTCGCCGGCCATGGAGAAGAAGAGAAGCGGCGGCTAGGTTTTAGGCCATAGAGAAGAAAGACGGCTAGGTTTTAGGCAGGTTTTAGGCTATGAAGAAGAAGAAGAGGAAGAAAAAGATAGAGAAGATGTACCACTGGGGGAGGGAGAAAATACTGGTGGTGTTTATGGAAGAAAAGAAAAAAAAAAAAAAAATATTAGAGTACCACCACCGAGGGGTGGTGGTGTTTATGGAAGAAAAGAAAAATAGAAAAATAAAAATATTAGAGTACCACCACCGGGGGGAGGGAGAAAATTGGGTGGTCACCGCCATGGAGAAGAAGGGCGGCTAGGTTAAAAAAAACCTGGTGCGGCTATGCAGAAAAAGAGAAGAAGGGATGGTGACGGCTAGGTTAACCTAGTGTCTGATACCATATTGGAAGAATAGAAGAGGAGAAAGAGAGAAATAATAATACGTGATAGAATAGAAACCCCCATTATGTTATTGGTTGATTACATAAAATATATATAGAGAAATATTCCAAGGTAATAGAGTTTGACTAGGTAACTAAATCCTAACTAATCTAGGTAACTCAATCATACTACAATCCTAAAAGAGTTCTATAACATAATATTCTCTAACAGAAGCAAATTAATAATAAATGCAAACATAAATTATAGAGAGAGATAAATATGTAAGTGAGAGACAGAGAGTCGTGAGGGGGTTGAGAGAGAGAGATATGTAGAAAGGAGAGAGGAGAGAGAGGGGAGAGGGGAGAGGGGAGAGAGATAAATGCGTGTGAGAGAAAGAGAAAGATATGTAGAGATGAGAGAGGAGAGAAAAAAAATAAGAGTGTTTTGTGGGTTATATTTCCTTATTTTCTAAAATAATATTTTCATATAAATATTAGTTGAGGATATTTGTGTCAATATAAAATTAATGTTATTTAATTCATATTAATTTTAATAGGGAAGGAAACTACACCTATATTCATCTAATCACTTGGATCTCCATCTATATAAGTTTAAAATTAGAGGTGTCTAGAAAATTTCCCCTTTTTTAAATTAGTATTGCATTCCATATTAGCTGTCATTTTATAACATCAATGTTACATTAATTATTTTTTTCGCATTTGCCTTTATTACCCCTAGATTCTATAACCAATTCATTTTATAGTTAATCCCTTCTTCCTCAATAAATTGTTGTTTCAGCCGCGAAAAAAATTCCACTTTTATTTGATGTTTT